CGCCAGTCTCTAGCCCTGGAGAAGCGCCGCCGGTCTCTAACCGTTGAGATGCGCCGCCAGTCTCTAGCCCTGGAGAAGCACCGCCGGTCTCTAACCGTTGAGATGCGGCGCCAGTCTCTAGCCCTGGAGAAGCGCCGCCGGTCTCTAGCCCTGGAGAAGCGCCGCCAGTCTCTAACCGTTGAGATGCGGCGCCAGTCTCTAACCCTGGAGAAGCGCCGCCGGTCTCTAACCATGGAAAAGCGCCGCCGGTCTCTAGCCCTGGAGAAGCGCCGCCGGTCTCTAGCCGTGGTGAAGCGGCGCCGGTCTCTAGCCGTGGTGAAGCGGCGCCGGTCTCTAGCCGTGGTGAAGCGGCGCCGGTCTCTAGCCGTGGCGAAGCGGCGTCGGTCTCTAGCCGTGGCGAAGCGGCGCCGGTCTCTAGCCGTGTTGAAGCGGCGCCGGTCTCTAGCCGTGGCGAAGCGGCGTCGGTCTCTAGCCGTTGGGAAGCGCCGCCGGTCTCTAGCCGTTGAGAAGCGCCGCCGGTCTCTTGCCATGGCGAAGCGGCTAGCTGTGGCGAAGCGCTGCCGGTCTCTAGCCTTGGAGAAGCGCCGCCGGTCTCTAGCCCTGGAGAACCGCAGCCGGTCTCTAGCCGTTGAGAAGCGGCGCCGTTCTCTAGCCGTTGAGAAGCTCCGCCTGTCTCTAGCCGTGGCGAAGCGCCGCCGGTCTCTAGCCCTGGAGAACCGCCGCCGGTCTCTAACCGTGTAGAAGCGGCGCCGGTCTCTAGCCGTGGAGAAGCGGCGCTGGTCTTTAACCATGGAGAAGCGGCGGCGGTCTCTAGCCTTGGAGAAGCGGCGCCGGTCTCTAGCCTTGGAGAAGCGGCGCCGGTCTCTAGCCTTGGAGGACCGCCGCCGGTCTCTAGCCCTGGAGAAGCGGCGCCTGTCTCTAGCCCTGGAGAAGCGGCGCCTGTCTCTAGCCGTGGAGAAGAGGCGCCGGTCTCTAGTCGTGGAGAAGCGCCGCCGGTCTCAACCCCTGAGAAGTGCCACCGATCCGCCGGTTTCTAGCCCTGGAGAAACGCCGCCAAACCGCCCGTTTCTAGCTCTGGAGAAGCGGCGCCGGTCTCTAGCTCTGGAGAAGCGGCGCCGGTCTCTAGCCCTGGAGAATCGGCGCCGTTCTCTAGTCCTGGAAACCAGCTGGTTCCACCTCGTTATCCAGTCCCTCAGGTTCCTAGAAATGTTAGGAGGTTTTCAAAGTTCTTTGGGTTAAAACGGTACCAAACGGCTCCAGCCCCGGACCACCAACCCGTGGTTCAGCTGCACCCTGTACTGACAGGCTCTGGATGCTGGTCCCATTGACCCGTCCAGCTCACAGTGGTTCCTCTTCATCACTGTGGGCTTTCAGCGGAGAGTCATAATGGATCGTTCCCTTCCCTCCTAGAACAACTGGGTTCCCCGGAGAGGCGACCAGGGCCCCAAGACCATTGACCAGATCCACAAGGAGGCGGAGATGGAGGAGCATCGAGAGCAGCTGAAGGTCCAGCAGGCCCTCATCTCCAGGAAGGAGTCCGGAGGCCGAATGGGAGACAGAGGCCCTGGAGGTCGCGGTGGCCCTCACACCCCGGGGCGCGGCGCCCCCATCCAGGACGAGGGCTGGAACACCATCCCCATTTCCAAGAACCGGCCCATCGACACGTCCCGCCTCAGTAAAATCACCAAGGTAAGGCCAGACCCTCAACCAGAGGTTCCTGTCCTCCCACCCGCTTCTATCAGAACTTCCTCTCTTTCAGACCCCTGTGCTGGACTTCAACAATCAGCTGCTGGCCCCCGGGGGTAAAGGCACCTGGGGGAGCTGGGGGAAGGGCAGCAGTGGTGGCACCAGTACAAAACCTTCAGAACCTGGTAGGTTGTCCTCTTTGTGTGTCTGCTGCTTTGATGGACATGAAGCTGAGGCTCCTCTGTGGTTCTGGTTCCTCTGCAGGGCCCGAGTCCGGAACCCGTCCCACCACCAGCACTCTGAACAGGTTCTCCGCCTTGCAGCAGCCTTCGTCCTCAGCGTTTGACTCGGAGAGGAGAGCTCCTCAGAGGTGAGGCGCCGTGCTGTCAGTACTTTCTCAGTGGACCGGGCTGGTTCTATGATCCTCTCTTTATCGTGACCCGACAGGAACAGCTCCAGTCGAGAGCGCGGCGACCGCTTCGACCGAGGCGGCGACCGTTTTGACCGGCGGGACGATCGCAACCGGGTCCAGGTCACAAAACGTAGCTTCAGTCGCGAGAAGGAGGAACGGAGCCGTGAGAGAGAGCAGCGCGGAACGGCCGACCCGGTTCGCCGGGTGGCCAGCGTGACCGAAGAACGTGAGAGAGGCATTGCCGAGCGGCCAAGGAGCAAGGAGCAAGGTGGTCGTGAGGGGTGGAGCTAAGATCAGGTTCTGGTTCTAATGTTTCTGGTTCTAACGGTTCTCCTCTGACCCGCCTCCAGCCAAGCAGCAGGCGGTCTCTCCTCCTCCGCCCACACCGGCACTGACGGTGGAGGAGCTGGAGAAGAAGTCAACGGCCATCATTGAGGAGTACCTCCACATCAACGACATGAAGGTACCGCAGCGGGTCCTAAAAGGGGTCCTGACCGCTGTCCGTGGTCCTGGTAGCTCAGTCCCCTCTGAGGCAGTCCGCTTTGTGTCCAACAGGAAGCCCTGCAGTGCGTACGGGAGCTACAGAGCCCGGAGCTGCTCTTCGTGTTCGTGCGAAGCGGCCTGGAGTCGACGCTAGAGCGCAGCACCATTGCCAGGGAGCACATGGGCCAACTGCTGCACCAGCTCATCAGAACCGGCATCCTGCCGACCCAGCAGTACTTTAAAGGGTTCGTCTGCGGCCGCTCAGGGTAAAGGCCACCATCAGCATGTTGTGAATGTTTTAATGGTGGAAGGTTCCTGCAGGTTCCAGGAGATCCTGGAGGTGGCAGAGGACATGGCCATAGACATCCCCCACATCTTCCTGTATCTGGCAGAGCTGATCGCCCCCATGCTGCATGATGGCGGCATCCCCATGGGACCGCTGTTCAGGTGACCCGCCTTAGAGCTCACCTCGGCTTTCTGCTGGGTCGGCTCCAGTGTTCTGATGTTCTGCTGCCCTCCTTAGGGAGATCTCCAAGCCTCTGATCCCTCTGGGCAAAGCTGGAGTCCTGATAGCCCACATCCTCACTCTGCTGTGCAAAGAAATGGTGAGAGCTACGGATCTGAAAGCGTTGGTTTGTCAGAGCCAGAACCAGACTCTCATCATGCATTCTGATCCAACCAGAGCCATAAAAAGGCTGGCACCATGTGGAGAGAGGCGGGGCTTAGCTGGACAGACTTCCTTCCTGAAGACGTGGACTTCAACAAGTTTGTGACGGAAAAGGTTAGTCCTCTAATGTCGGCCTAGAAGGTTCTGGACCAGAAGGACCCACCTGCTCATGGTTTTCCTGCTAACAGGAACTGAAATATGTCCGACGTAGGTTCAGCCGGTACCTAATGATGAGCAGGTCTCTCATGGTCTTCCTGAGCTGAAGGTGGTTCTTCTGGGGTTGAGCTGTACTCAGCTTGGGGTCTTCTTCTCTCCTCAGAACGTTGAGTTCACTCTGGGCGAAGGGTCAGAGAAGAGCAGGAAGGAGATGAGTCCTGCAGAGCTGAGCAAGCAGCTGGTCAGGCTTCTTCAGGACCAGGCAGACAACGAGAGGATTTTTGACTGGATCGAGGTCAGTAGTCCGAACGGTTCTGCTGGTCTGAAACTCTGGGTTCTGTAGGGTTTGATGCTCTGAAGGATGCACCACTCCACCGCCTAACTCTCCCTGTCATTCCTCTGGGGGGAACGTTCCTGTTTGCAGGCCAACCTGGACGAGCAACAGATGTCGTCTAACGCGTTTATCCGAACCCTGATGACCTGCGTCTGTCAGTCGGCCATAATCTGTGAGTACTTTGCTGTTGGTTAGACTGGATCCAGTCCTGAACAGGCCAATGAGACTATTGCCTCTGCAGGTGAGACCCCGTACAAGGTAGACGGTGAGGTGATCAAGCAGAGGGCCAAGCTGCTGCAGAGGTACCTGAAGGACGAGCAGAAGGAGCTCCAGGCTCTGTACGGCCTGCAGGCCCTGATGGTGCAGATGGAGCAGCCTGCCAGTAAGCTCCTCAGATCAGCCTCCATCACTGCCACACATCTAGGCTCCCAGAAACCACCCACAGGTTCTATGAGATAAATGTCCTGGACTAACTGGACCACCTGGACTTACTGGACCACCTGGACTAACTGGACCACCTGGGCCAACTGGACCACCTGGACTAACTGGACCACCTGGACTAACTGGACCACCTGGACTCACTGGACCACCTGGGCCAACTAGACCACCTGGACTAACTGGACCAACTGGACCACCTGGGCCAACTAGACCACCTGGACTAAC